ACAGTTCGCTTAGGGCAGCTGGATCTAAGTTGGCCCCTTTCCCCACAGCCATAGCACCTAGGGCTGTATCCTTTGTTGCGGTCGCGAACTGTAGCTGCTGCAACCTCTCTGACGCGATAGGAACGATGATCCTGTCGCACGGCTTCCACCTCCAGTGCATGGGCCAAGGCGTCCTTAACCGTTTCGTGGTGCCCCAGCCTCACAGCAGCTCTAACTTCAAGGTCGCGGATGCCGTCGATGAATGTCTGCACCAGGTTCCCTTCAATGAGCGCAGGTACAGACCGGTATGTTTTTCGCACCAGCTTCTCCTTGATGCGCTGCACGCGATCTTTAAGCTGCGCGCGAAAGACGTGTTCCAGGAGAGCGTAGCCATATCTCGCCTCCAATGCCTCAAGGAGTTGCTCATAAGTCACTTCCTCACCGAGAGCTTCCAGAACTGTTAAGGCCTGGTCGCGCAGGCCTAGTGTGAGAGCAGTCATGGCCTGACTTTTATTCCAGCTGTTCGCCTTCATAACAGTCTCAAACTGGATTTTGTAGGCTGACCAAGAAGAAGTCCGGTCGAACGGTGGCACTTTGAAGCCACGTAGCGAAGGTGTTGTAGCTACTGCGGGGGTTGCAATTCCATCTCCAAGTTTGAGATCATCCAACGTTTTTTTAACTTGGTTGATTTGGGTCTCAGCTTCCGACAGGCGGTTATCATGTTGAGCAACCTTATCCTTCACCTCTCTTATCTCGTTCCAGAAAGTAGCGTGAAGGTCCTTCATGATAAGCTTCTGCTCTTCCCTATCGCATTTGAGCTGCTCTTCTAAGCGACGGGCCTGTTCTTCTTGCTGCTCTTTCAACTGACGGGTTTGTTCCTCCTGTCGGCGGGCCTGTTCCTCCTGTCGGCGGGCCTGTTCCTCCCGTCCGCGCTTCAGCTGCTCTTCCAACCGACGGGCCTGCTCCTGCAGCATCACCATCAGAGCACCTAATTCAGGTGCTGCAGGTGTAGGAGCTGCTGACACCCTCCGTTTCCTCCTTAGGTAAAATCGGCATAATTTAATCCCACTTCTGACACCAATTGTTACGAGCTTGAGGTTCGTGACAATAAAAATTGCCGATAGAATTACCAAAATTAACTCTTTAATTCACTTTACACTAATTAAAACTTAGAACACTAATAATTAATCACACTGATTCACTTTATTTTGCTTCTTCGCTTGTCTCGCCAAATTCAATACTTCCCCACTCGCATCTTGAAGCGCCTTTAAATACATATTATCACCGAAACATCCAGAATATTCAAGTAAATACGCGCGCCAATCGACTAGGCGCCTAAAGTTCGAGTGTCGGGCTTCTAGAAGCTTAGTTCTTCGTTTCGATACTAGATGGCGCTGTCGGTTGAAAGATTAGTGATATCATTTTCTGAAAAGCTCTCCTCTCTCCGTTACCCGACACAGTTGGCGGTAGTGCCGGGTACATGACGTCAACTTAGGCGCGCAACACTATAAATAGTTCTAGTTAATAACCTCTGTATGACGTCATTGATGAGAATTTTTTATTCATATTATCTAGTTATATTATTAGGTAGCGTAAACATATCAATTAATATAAATAATAAAATTGTTGTGATTTTGTGAAAATCACGAATAGATATAAAATAGAATAGAAAATACAAATATTTGTACGTTACAATTCGCTCACTCACAACAAATTGACTACTTTTATAGAACTCTCGCGAGACAGAAAACCAGTAGCAACATTTCGAGACGCTGTCCTAGATCTGCCAAAGACTGATATAGCACTATCTTTGTAGATAGTGCTATATAACATTGGCACGGTACCATTTCAGTTACAATTATGCTATAACTAAAAGTAGTGTAATGTTTACTTGTGATATCTGCTCGACAAATTTACACATTTTTATCAACATAATATCGTGAACTACATGTAAACTTTACGCGCGGTTGAAGCAAAACTTATTAATATTATTTTTAATAGATTTGACTTTAAATACTATATATGTATTTATTAACATTTAATTTAATGATTTATTAATAGTCTCGTTTCTGATGATGTAAAACTGTTAGCCTTTTGGCTTCTACATTTTAATAGGTACAGGACCCGAGGCCTTTTTGCCCGCGGGTCGTAAAAAGTTTAATATAAATCATTTCTCATCGTTACTTGTGTAACGATGGCTCCTATGACAGTGTACAGTGCACGTGGTTGAGTTATCTAACGGCCGTCCAGTGTGTAACTCATGTCGTTAGATGTTCTGGGAAGTGAGAACCGCCCAGGAACGCGGGTGTACGGTGTGTACACGGTATGGAGGAGTGTGCGGCGCGCCCGTCTGCGGTCTCGCTGTGTCCCATCCATTGTCCTAACAGTGTTTGTGGCACGAGGTGAATGTGTAGTATCTATGTGTGACGGGCACTTGCGAGAATCTTTCAAAACTGAAGGTTCAATTTAAACGTACCTGGGCCTCCGGAGGCTTTGCTTAACGTTTGGTGTTGGAGCGTAGGTTGCTGCATTTATCACTAGCGGGTTGGGATGTGTCTCCGCGCTCTCAAAGTAGCGCCGAGATATTTCCTTGAAATATTCAGAGATAGTCAGAAGTTGACAATCTCTGTGCAAGTCCAAGTTTCGCTGGTACCACCGAGCTTCAGTGGCAATGCGAATGAATGTATTTTGGACGACTTAGAGATCGTATAAATGTTTGTGAGTCACATGTGCGAAGACTACGCTTGCTTAGGACATGGTAGGTCTTACACAAGCTTTGCAGAGGTGCAGCTTGTGTCTTAGTGACAGTTTGCTCCTACTGTTAACCAGAGGGTGGAAGCGACTAGTGACGAATTTAGCACGATTGTGGGCGGTGCGAATGTGTTTCGTGAAGGGCATAGAGTGGTCGAATGTGACCCCTAGGTATTTGGCGTTTTGATGCCACGGGATCTGGCGGCCGAATAGGGCGATCGTGAGATTTCTAGAGATCTAGAGATTTATATTTTAGACATCTAGAGATTTTTTCGGACTTAGGTTATGACGATTGAATGAGGATTTCCTTTGAAAGTATATTGTTACACTTTTTCAGGGTTCACTTTGATTCTTCGTAAGCAAAACCATTCACCGAAGCGATTGGCGGCTCTTTAGAGCAACGTTGTGAGACATTTCTTGCTGCAATGAGCGACGTAAAGTGCCGTGTCGAGGAGTGCCGTCTGCAAAGAGAGAGTTGTTGACAACTGGGTCCTTCGGGAAGTCTCTCGTATAGAGTATGAAGATGAATGCAGAGAGAATGGAGCCCTGAGGGACTCCAGCCGTAAGAGAGTTCTTGGTGGAGCGAGTTACCTCTATACGAATTCGGAAATGGTGGTTGGCAAGGAAGGAAGAGCGCGAACTCGTCTTTTTGGTCTCTGAGCACGTTTAGGTTAAAAACGCGACAGTCAGAGAGCGTGGCTTAGTTCTACCTAACGTTTGAACTGCCATTGTGGTTTTAACTAAGGTATTCAAGCGCTCTGGAAAGACCAGATTGAGTCGAGTATTTTGAGCGGCATTGGCATTGAGCTTGTCCTGTGGGGTATTTGATCCGCGGAGTTTGCGGGTGAAGGATGATAGTTCAGCGACGTTGATGCTGCTGATGAAGCCGCAGACTAGGGAGAAGTCAGCGGCGAAGGGTAATGAGCGTTGTGGGATAGGCTTGGGTTTGGCGGCATGGGGGGAGCAGCAATGGCCGCTAGGGGAATAGTGCCGGATGCTTTACCCACGCATCGGGTTACGGAGAAGAAGGCGGGACGGGGGCGGGCTTGGTGGCTGTTTGGGGCGCAGGAGAGGCCACGGAGATTAGTACGGGTTTGGAGGCAGGCAGCCGAGAGCGCAACACGCTGGGCTGATTCGCACGTCTGGGACGGCCTTTATCTCCGCGCTGTTTGCGTCGCGCCGCTTTGGAACACATGCGATAGTTCGCTTGGTGTTCCTCTTCGTGGCAATTAACGCAGCTCGGAAGCTCTGCCGTCTCAGGCGTGTGGGTGCAGTCAGTGTTGCCGTAATCGCCTAGATACTTGATGTACCTAAGCGGGTGCAATTTCTGACCTAATAGCCATAGGGTTGGCATCGGTAGCTCTGGCCAACGATTCCCTATTTTAGGTGGCTTCAACTGCACCGGTTAGTTTGTAGATACGTCGGACATGAATATTCCTTGCCTTCCTAAGAAAGGTCCAGAATGAAAAGGTACAGATCAAGGAATCGATATTTTTCGGTCTTGTGGTACATTCTCTGCACTTTTCTCTGAAATCTCTGAAATTCTGGGACTTGAGGTCATCCAAGATGTATACGATCTCGAGTTCTTTGGGGTGTCTTCGAACGATCACTCACACTCCTCTAGTAGGTGACTAGTTACGCAGCGGAATTACTCGGTTGAGTTGACGTACATTCTGACGCCCTGACTGGCATTTTGATGTTGTGCGCTTGGGCTTTTTGCCCTGGACGAGGATGAAGCTTTCGTCTTCAGGCTTGGATGGGACACGCGTCTCAGTCTCCATGTCGAAGCCAGAGTCGGCGTCCTAGAAGGACGGAGAGGGGCTGCGGGTTGACGTCGTGGAGGGTGCGAGGGACGCAGTGCCGTTCACCGATGCAAACGAAGCCGGTGAAACCGGGGCGGAGGGAGGAGAGAGGTGGTTTTCATCATGACATTTCGGCGTATCCTTGCTTCGTTTAAGGACATCTGCGAGTTCGTCGACACCATTTTGCCTATGCTAACACCATTCTCAATCTCTTCATAAGTTATTGCCCATACACCTAGCGCGTTGGTACGCTAGGGTATGTACCTAGCTATTGCCTAATGCAACAAGCAACACAAAAATTAAAACAGATAGCCACCTCTGAGGCGGCGGGTGTGTTTCACTCTACTTACGGTTGACTGAAACCCAGGAAGCCAGGAAGGAGAGTTATGCATAAAACACGATTGACTTTTACACGATTACAATAATAATAATAATAATAATCGGGCTATCGTGAGGGCTCTGAATCCAATGCTGGTGACATATTTGGAAGCCAGCCGGGACCTTTGCGAGACGGACTCAATTCTTTTTGGCGCAGCACTGGCAGTCTGCCGTATTATAGGCGCCAAACTTTCCACGGCTGGACGCACTACTGGACAAAGTGCTATCCCAGCCTGGAGAACAAGAATTGAAGAACGTATCGCAAAGGCTAGGGCCCTCATCGGAAGACTGATATGCTTCAGGTCAGGCAATACCAGGCCAAGGATTGTGAGCACCGTCAGGATGGCGTTTGCTGGGACAAATGTTAGTTTGTCCCAGCCGGATATAATGCAAAAACTGACGGAGAGCATAGACGACCTGAAGCAGAGAATCGCTGCTTGAGGAAAGCGGATTCGGCGATATACCGAGAGTTCGACACGGTTCAACCAGAATCGTCTCTTCCAGAGTGATCAGAAGAGGCTCATTGGAGCGACCAATGGTAAGTGGAACGGGCCCAGTAGCGAATCAGGCCGACACGGTCGCATTTTGGTGCAGCATGTGGTCAGAGCCCGTAAACCACAACGAGGGCCCTTGGATGGAAGTTGTGGCGAGTCAGTTTGCGGGTATTACGTCCATGGACCCCGTCATCATAACGCCGGATGACGTAGCTGAGGCGGTCCGTAGGGCTTTTCCGAACTGGAAAAGTCCGGGGCTTGACGGGCTGCATCACTACTGGCTTCAGGGGTTCATGGTGTGTCATGCTGTGCTCGCTCGACAGTTTCAAGAGGCTCTCAACCAGAAGTCGCTCCCGAGCCTCTTCACTACTGGGATCACTCATTTGGTTCCTAAAGATCAGGGTGCCACAGACCCGAGCAAATACCGCCCCGTCAGGTGTCTACCGACCATATACAAGACACTAACATCCATTTTGAGTGCTAGAATCACTCATCTCCTGGACTCAAATCAGGTGATGTCGCGCGCTCAAAATAGATGTCGGGGCGGCGGTCATGGAACCAAGGAACCACTCCTCATTGACGCGGTCATTGGCAAAGTGGTGAAACGCAACCGTCGGAACATCTCCGCCGCCTGGATAGATTACAGAAAGGCATTTGACTCGGTGCCCCATACATGGCTAAAGAGGGTCCTCGAGCTGTACAAGATTGACTGTACAGTTTGAGACTTCCTCGAGCAGTGTATGGGGTAGTGGAGTACGATCCTTTGTCATCTAGGCGAGCGGATGACGGCTTCGGAAAGCCGCATAAGGATAAGAAGGGGTATATTCCAGGGCGACTGTCTGAGTCCAATCTGGTTCTGCCTCTCTTTGAACCCTCTCAGTACTTTACTGGAGGGCTCCGGGAGGGGATTTCAGCTTCGGAAAGGAGGCATCATCCGAGATCGTCGGTAATGAGGCTGTACTTGCCGCGAAAGCATGGTGGGCGTGGCTTCTTGAGCGCGCTCACCATGCATAATCGCAAAGTGTGCAGCCTCCATGATTACTTACTGGTGAGATCGGATGATCCATTCTATAATGACGTCATTTCTAGTGATAAAGGACTTACCCCTATATCCTTAGCCAACGAGCAATGGCAGGACCCGGCAGTACAGAGCATTTCCAACCGAGAGACCGTATGGAAGGAGAAGGAGCTCCAGGGGAGGTACTACAGGGCTCTACATGAGCTCCACGTAGATACAGCCGCCTCCCTCAACTCCCTCTATCCTTAGCCAACGAGCAATGGCAGGACCCGGCAGTACAGAGCATTTCGAACCGGGAGACCGTATGGAAGGAGAAGGAGCTCCACGGGAGGTATAAACACAAGCACATATACACGTGCTTGTGTTTATAGCGTTTAGGTTTTATTTCATGATTTTAAGTAGTTCCTCAGTCGTTTCATAATCTTGACTTAGTAACCATAGGGTTACCGTCTTTTTGCATTTAAATTTGGGAAATTTGTATATAGATAGAATGGAATTAATTTTATTATATAGATGAGAACTCAAGAAGCAGACGAAATTATGTGTAGAGCTTCTTTTATATGGTAAAATGGGACAAATTTTACTTTTATTTCTTTTATTTGTAAGAAGAGAAGGATTATAATATAACAGAGAATGTTGTTTTAAAATAGTGTGGAGAATAAATAATTGGCGGACTCTGAGAACATTACAGCTTTGGTATAGGTTTTTAGTGAGATAGAGAAATGGAAAGAAATGACTCACCTTAAGAAGTGCTCTTTGGGCACGTTCTAAGTAGATATGATTTAGAGGTACCACCCCAAGCTGTTATGCAATATGTAATCAATGATTGGCAAAGTGACAAGTAAGTTGATTTTATTATTGTTTCGTCTGCCACATGTCGAAGATTTTTAAAAATATAGATCAACTTGCGCAACCTATTAGTTAAAAGATTAATGTGTGCTTGAAAATTCAGATTATTGTCAATTATTATACCTAATTAAATACTTTATTTCATTTACTTTTAGGAGCGAAGGACAAGAACAGTCAATAATATTATAATTATGACAGATATGTGCTTTTATATGGAAATTAGGTGAAATAGGTGTGTTAAGTTTTTTAAATGTGAATGACATATATTATCTTTATTTTTTTTTAATTTTACACTTTACATATTTAATGGTGTTACAACGTTCAATTTATATTACAAAAATTATAATAAAGAACTTAACTAAAATAATAATTAAAATTATAATATTAAAGATTAAAACTAATTATATACAACGAAAAAGAAGAAACTATAATATAGAAAATCTAAAACTAAAAATTTAAATCGTCAAAAAGACCTGCTCCCCGTGGTATAATGCCAAGAACGCTGGCTGCGTTTCCTCGCTGAATAGCTATACTTAGCCTTTGAGCGAGGAAAGAACCAGCCCTCTTATCACCAGCAGCGACGACCAGTCGTGGATACAGTTCCTTTAGAAACTTCATTGCACGTGGACCCCACGGACCGATAGTCTCTACAGCAAATGGCACAAATATGTAGTCATTCCTCAAAGACCAATATTTGCGCCATTTACTAAATTCGGCTGCCTCTGACGCCGCCCCGGCTCTAAAAGAGGTACCCTTGAGATGAGAGGCCGCCAAAGTGTCAACGCAAGTAGCATCCCACACTAGGGCTTTACCTCTCTCCCAAGGGACCAAAGTCATACCGTCGGGTCTCTTGCCATCGTCTCTAAATATGCCGCTAGGCTCTAAAACCGAGGGGATATTTATAGAGACAAGAGCCCTTCGGATGATTTCGTTCAAAGAACCGTGACGGGAAAACCTACCTGCACTTTTCTTGCATGAAAGTCCGTGGAGCCCAAACTCATCGACGCTGCTACCACAGGGGCACTGGTGAGGTTGACAAATAGCTATATAGTTGACATATATTTAGTTTTAGAGACATTCAGCATTAATTTATTATGTGTTAGCCAGTTCATAATTACATTGAGGCTTTTTGGGCATACAAATATGCTTCGCCCCATGTATCACCACTGAATAAAAGCGCAGTATCATCGGCATAAAAAACAAGAGTTCCATTTATCAATTTTAACTGGCACATGTTGTTTATATAGGTCAAAAACAGGGTAGGACCTAAAATACTACCTTGTGGTACGCCATGAGAAACGGGAAGATCATCACTAATCCAATTTCCTATTTTAACACATTGCGAGCGGTTAGTGAGATAAATTTCAAAGAATTTAAATTACGATCCTCTGACTCCCAGCTTGTATAATTTGTGAATTAATAGTGGGATAGAGACCGTGTCAAATGCCCTAGCCAGATCAAGCAATACTGATATTACTTTTTTGTTGTCGTCCATATGTTTAACAGTACAACCCAAAAACTCATATACTGTGTCACTTATAGATTTGCCATTTCTGAAACCAAATTGTACATGTGACAGGAGATTTTTGGATTCAAGATACCTGACTAGTCTATTATTTGCGACTTTTTCCAAAATTTTCGAAAATGCTGGCGGTACAGAAATGGGCCGATAATTATCAACACAGTCCCTATTACCATTCTTATAAATTGGGTGAATCATTGAACGTTTGAATTCATGAAGAAATACTCCATTATTTAGAGATGGATTACAAATATATATAAATACAGGTGTAATAATATTTTTGTATCGTTTTATAAGAGAACTTGAAATATTGTCCCGTCCTACGGAGTTATTTTTAAGCTTTCATATAATTGTTTCGATTTCCGAATCTTCTACTGGAAGTAATACAAATGAATTACTAGGTGATATATCTGGTGAGCCCAGGGATAAGTTTTTGGAGCAGTTTTGAATAAACTCAACTATATTGTTTCCTATGCTTACAAAATATTCATTTATGTCATTAATCGACTTCATAGGATCATTAGAAAGAAGCTCTCTAGCTGTGAGTTATATTTTTTATTATTGCCCACAGTTTTTTGCTCTTACATTTAGCCTTACGAAGTTCCGTTTTGTCATGTTCATGTTTTACCTTCTTGAGTATGTTATTACAAAAATTCTTATATTTTGTGTAGCTTGTTCTAAGAATTGTGTTATTAGGATGGTTTCTTGATTTTATACGTAAATTGTCCCTATTTTTTATACATTTCAGCAAGCCTCGAGTTATCCAAGGTTTTATAGTTCATTTACGTCTCGTGACCGTTATATTTTTAGTACATTTGTCAATAACCTGATTTAGAATATTAATTAAAAACGTGACTGCATCATTTATATTTCGCATTGAATATATAGGTGTAAATTCTACTTCATTAAAAGTTAATTCTAAGGCCTTATAGTCAAGCTGATTAATTGTTTTAGTATGCTTACTATTTTTACACGTCCAATTTAAGCTAAGGATTACGCAGTAATGATCTGTGATGGTAGTGTGAGTAACATGACAACGTGCGGGTTGTGTTGTTTTTAAAATTATGCGATCCAAACAGAAATTGGTATGTGTGGGGACATTAAAAATTGGTAGCATACCATGAGAGGCTAATAGATCAAGATAAATATGGGCTCTAGAGTCTTTTGAGGGTGATATATCAATATTTATATCTTCTGTTAATATTATATTTTCATATTGTGCTAACCCAATAAGTACAATATTTAACGATTCAAAGAAAGCGTTTGTATTCTTTACGCTTGGGGGGCGGTATATTGTAAGGACGACAGAATTAGCATTTAATTTTATAAGCAAACAATTAGCATCTGTTAAGTTGATTTCTGATATATAATTATTATTATTTGAATTATAGTAAATTACAACTCCCTCATTTTGTGTTTTGTTAATTGTAGTAGCAGCGTAATTATATCCGTGTAGTATGGGAATGTAGTGACAGCTTTGCAACCAACATTCTGTAAATATAATTAGGTCCCAATCCACTTTTTCACGATACAGAAGAACTTGAAAGTGTGGTATATTACGTTTTAGGCTTCTTATATTTTGTGTTATTAATTTTAAAGAGGATTGTTTGTTATATATTAAATTAGCACAGTCATCAATGTTGCATGTCAAACACGAGGCCAAAGATAATTCATCTAAGTCATTATTAATATTTTCATTAGTACTATCGCCTTTTAAAAAGTTTATAATTTACTAGTTTAAAATTACGGTGCAAAAAATAAATAAAAGAATAATATATTTTATTGTTTACGACGCAAATAATGCAAATGTAAGGAAATATTACTATGTCATTTCCTACGTAAAATATAATTAGATAAATAATTATTTTATTACATGAGACTGTACTTCGGTATAATATTAATTGGTAGTAGTTAAATTCAACATGTGGCATCTGATGGAAAAAATAACTTTTTTGATCCACTAAACTCGAAATGTCTATCTATATTTGAAATATTTTTTATTTGTTTACGAATAGCGTGAGTTTTATTAGTATAGTAATAAATAAAATGTATAATAGTCATAAAAGGAACAAACTTATAGTAATAATTCTGTGTGCAAATAGTACTGTGTATTAAACAAATTGTATACATTACTTCAAAATACTGAAAATTTATATTGTAATACATTATGATTGTAACTATCCATTCAAAGGGTTTAATACGAGTTTGTAATTTCTTTATAATATAAATAATAGATTTAAATATCCGAGTAAAATTATTTGTGAATCCGATATATATTTTGTTGGGCAAAGTTGTAGAATGAGATTTGATGGTGTTATGCCTATGAAATAACATGGGTTTTATCATGTAGATAAATGAGGTAAGTGAGACATCGTTCGTACAATTTATTACGCATTTGACGGTATTATGATAATTAAATGAAACATGCGAGCATTCTAAACATTTATGATCATTATGTAATATATGTTTATAGAAGTAAGATTGAGCTAGTTTAATATTATTAATGTAGGTAGGCCATTTATTTAAAGACATAATGATTTCTTATATTTACGCGAACACTACACATTGATTAAAACTACTTTTACGGATTTTATCGCGTTTATTTTACTATTATTTTTGTATTCCCGACGTTTCGGGCGCTTTCCAGCACCCATGGTCACGGGGGACTGAGATGACTGACGTCCCGTTGTCATTGTTAAACCCGAAGTACCTTCAGCTTTTTTAATCATTGTTTATGGTCCGACCTATGCAAAATGAACTGACTATGTCCTGAGGTCTTGCAGTGGTAGGCTTGGGTTTAGTTTTAATTTTATTGATTATAGGATCCCAAGCAGGTGGTAGTACCCAGCCTTCTTCTCTATTGAAATTAGGATGTTTTTTAATTTCAATGGCCTCACGTATCATCCTTGGTAGGAATCGGTGTTCTTTCGCGAGGATTTGTGGTCTATCAAATCTGATGTAATGGTTGGGGCAGTCTAGGATATGATGGCAAACTGCAGACTTCCCGGAACGTTGATGCTTCACATCAGCTATATGTTCTTTTACGCGGGTTCTGATTGATCTTTTTGTTTGTCCTATATAAGAGAGACCACATTCACAATCAAGCTTGTACATTTCTGAATCTTGTAGAGGAATATGACACTTGACTGATGATGAACTGACTAATCTTCTTCGGCGGCTTGTAGAATATTCTAATAGAAGCTCGCTTCAAGATGTAGCCAATCATGTCTGTGACACCTCTGACATATGGTAGTACAGCAGGCACACGCTCGACTGTGGCCGGCTTCACTCGGTCACTGTGACGTAGGCGCGGGACCCGAAGCTTGTTGTCGTGCAGAACTTGCTTGACGTGCTGAAGCTCGGCGGCCAAGTGTTTGCTGTCACAGATCCCTCGTGCTCTCTGTAACAAAGATTTGCCCACGGTAGCTAACTGTGAAGGATGGTGGTGAGATTCACCATTTAAATATCGGTTTGTATGGGTCTTTTTCCTATACACAGTGTGACCAATGGTGTTGTTAGGATTTCGGATGACTAACTAGGAAAGGTAAGGAATTATTTGCCTCTAACTCCATAGCAAATTGAATTTTAGAGTTTATGGAATTAAGATGTTCTAAAAATGCAGTTACTTTGTCTGATGGTAAAATTGTGAAAGTGTCGTCTACGTACCGCTTGTAGATCCTTGGTGTTAACAGGTGCAGAAAGGAGGGCTTTCTCCTCAAAGTCTTCTATGAATATATAGGCGACAATGGGAGATACAGGTGAGCCCATCGCAACACCATTTACTTGCTTGTAAAACTCTTACTTCCACAATAGATAGCCAGATGTAAGGCAATGTTTGAGTAATACTGCATATTCTGCTGGCATATTATTTTCCTCTAGTTTCCTAGTTATAATTGAGATGCAGTCTTCAACAGGTAGGCATGTAAATAGAGACTGAACATCAAAACTGACCATGGTTTCATTGTCAGTAAGATGTAGGTTTTTTATCTCACTGACAAAATGGCATGAATCCTTAGTGTGTGCTCTTGTGTGTCCTCTGAGTGGTGATAATATTTTAGCTAAGTATTGAGCCAATCTGTAAGTTGGCTCAATACTTAGCTAAAATATTTAGCGATAAAATCCGTAAAAGTACTTTTAATCAATATTTAAAGACATATTGTTTTTAAAACGTGCAACCGTTGCACTTGGCTATAATGCTGGAGAAGCCAAATAATTATTTTTAGGAATACGAAATAATAAGTAATTGTTCGTATGTATGTATTTTGTTTGTATATTGTAACTTATAATTGATTTTTGAGGAAATTCGTAATACGTATGTAATATGTAATGTGGATATGTTATGTTGCATGTGCATGGTATATATAATATATATGTAATATCGCTGACGTGTTATGGGTAACGCGAAACGGTAGTTATAATATATAGTAACTGTGTATATGTTGCATTGTGTGTGCGATTATAGTTGTGGATAAATGCAATGAGTGTATTGGTAGATGAGTTCGAGTAAAGGGCCTTACTATTACAGAAAATTAAATTAAAATAATGAAAGGAATGGACAATAGGAACTGTGTAAAAATTTTGTAAAAATACACTTCATACAAATAGCTAAAATCTAGTATATTCGGTAGACAACTTATTAAGGTCTTCGTGACACTTGATCGGGATAGGCTTGGATTGCTCAGATTTCTTTAAGTATACTCTTCCAACTGAGGTCCAACAGAAGACGTAATTATTTTTCTTCGCGAAATCTCTCCCAGCTGCATACAACTGCCTCGTTTTTTGTGGTAAGTTGTCCGAAATGTAAATAGATTTTGCCGGTCCGTCCATTGAAATATCTTTTGTATTCAGCTCATTGTTTGCATGAGTTTTGTTGTATTTTTTAAGGTTTAAGATAAATTTATCCTTCGTAAGGCAGCTTGTAAAGTCTGCTATAATTGGCTTATTTCCCTCTGTTTTAGTATTAATTTTATATATATTTTTCACGTCCGACTATTGAATTGTTGAACCCAGGACTCCACCTGTCTTTATCAGTATATTTAATAAATCATCCTTGGTTTCATGAGTTTCCTTTGGGATGTTGCGTAATTCAATTTTCGTAGTATGGGTTTCACGCTCGAATTTCTCTTCTAATTCTTGAATACGCTTGTAGTAAGCACTGTTTTGCTCTTCTAGGTTGTGTACTTTTTCCAAAAGCGAATCGTATTTATCAGACATAAAATTAATTGAATGACGTATTTCCTCGTTATGTTGTTTAATCTCCCCCATACGTTCAAGAATTATGGAATACTGTCTTGCTCATTTTTGAAATACGTAAACAATGATAGGAATTTGTCATGAATCACACTTAATTCATTCGAAGTGTCATTACTATGTTTTCTTTTCCTTGGAGCGGTGTTTATATAATACTCCTTTTCGGGGGTAGTAAGAATATTTGGTTCGGAGTCGCAACGTTGTAAGTTTGTTCGGCGCGCCGATGAAGACGCGCCTGCAACGGCGAGCGGTTAAGCGGCATTACGGAAAGTACCAGGCAGGTATAGATTAAAAGGTAGTTATCGCAGAGCTTACGCTTATATAGTTATCCTCGTTCCACAAGTATGGTATGAGTCACTCAGTGTGCGCCAGCGTCGCAGGTAAGGCGTAGGTATCAGCTTAGTTTGGACGAATTAGACGCGGTCGGCTAGGGGTGCGTTCCGTCTAGTATATGTTGAGATTACACGCTGCGTGTGTATTAATACAATGAAGTAATGAATGGACTTACTGTCTCTGTGTGCATTCGCGCTGCCGTTTGTGTGCACGTTGTGACGAGTCAGTAATTAAGAACACATCTTTGCACTTATGATATCTTATTATTTTAATTTTAATTTTCACAATAGAATTTAATTTATTTTATGATTGAGACAGAAAGTAATTTACACTGTCTATACTCTTTCGAAGTCCAAAGGGGAAGGATTACAATGATTTTGACATTTGAAACAAAAAGAGATTTCTGGATCTCGACAACAGCGCAACCTATCAAATTAAAGTTACAGCCTATATACGTCCCACTGCTGGGCAAAGGCCTCCTCTCATTTCTGAGAGGGTTTTTTGAGTTTTAGCGAAACTGATGGACAACAATTGATTTTATGTATAAAGATTACATTTGTAAATAAATGATAATAATCATTATTAGTTATGAGCTATAAAAAATAGAATTCTTTAAAATTATATTCATGTGTAAAATAAATATGGTAAGTCATATAATATACATTGAAACTGAGTAAATCTTTCTTTTAAAGTGTACCACTTTTGTCCGAAGAAAAGGTGACGACCAATGAAGCCTTACTTTAGTAACCGCTTATCTTTGTAATCAAAAGACTAAAACACTAGAGGGTGTTTCTCATTTTTCGTGCACGTACACGTCCAGGAGAAAAGTCTTAATTTTTTATTAAATATCTACATTTCTTATAAAGCAAATCAAATGTAAAAAAGGTTATGCTTACATGCATGTAATATTTATAGATAAAAATAACGTAATAAATTAATGATAAATAAAAAACTTCAATAATTCTCTATATCTTCGGTGTCCATTTACTACTCTCCTAAAAAAATTTGTATTTTTAACCAAAAATATAAACATTTAATATAAAAAATAAGCATATTATGAAACCTTATTAAAAAACACAACGTTTGCACCTAAAATAAATAACGATAACCCCACAATATAAAGAAATTTTATTTCATAAATGTTTATCAAAAAAAATTCTGATTACCAAAAATATTTACGTGTAATGTTTCGCGGGTGGTGATTGTTCTGAAATCGTCCTCTTTCCTCTCGTCCATATTATTAGGTGAGTATTGATGATTTTGTTTAATATGTAGTTAATTATCAATTCTAGTGATTACCGCCGTAATTTAAAATAAGCGCGAGATTCGTAATGTTGATATTTTTTACGAAACAATTGGACAAGAATAAAAACCTCATTACCTACGTCCTCACTACCTTCGTTTACCGTCGTTTTTTTTAGCGATGGTGATGAGGTCAAAACGATGACAATTAGAATCAATTTTACGTCAATTAATTATTATTTATTACAGTGCATTATTACATTGCAAACCGTGTGATCGCAAGTTCTAGTCCCACCCGTAGTTGAGATTTTTTTTCCACAATAATACTACTAGGATACAGTTATAATAATACTTTAATTCATAATAAAATAAAGAATTAATAGTTTTTATTTTGTTTCTTGATGTAGCTTTAAGTTTGTTTACAAATAGTAAACTCACAAGCTAACCTTGTATGTGTAATTTTTATTACTTTAGTTATTAAGGATGAGCTTGATATGATGAATACGAGCAATGTTATATAATTTGTTGTTACAGATTATTAAGAACTAATAATGCCAAAGAAAGTCAGATAAACATTAGAGCAGAAATGAGAGTGCGATCGATTACAAAAACAAAGAAAGTATGCAGAAATTAAGGAAGATCCTGAAAAGTATGCAGATCTGAAGGCAAAAGAAAGAGCAAGATACCTTAAAAGAAAAGAACAGAAAAAATAAGTAGTGCAAAAGATGTGACACCTAGACAATTAAGAGTTCAGAGGAAGAAGTGAAGAGTTAATTCAAAACGTCATTATGAAAGAAAAAAGAAAGAAAAAGCTATTCAACAGTTGTTAATAGATAATTTTCCACCAAATAGTAACAATGAAGTACATCCAGCTGAACAAGATCCTCTCACTCAATTAGCTCTAAGCCTCATAAATAATTCATATCTAAATCGTTTGGATTACGGTAATAGTAATTCTTGTCAAGGGTGCCTAAAGAAAATATTCTTCAGAGAAAGGTTCCCTACCTACATAAAAAGAAATAGGCATTTTGAAACAAGAAATAGAAAAAACGAAGAAACAGAAAGATGGATTAGAAAAATGTTGTGTAGAATAATGAAAAATAAGAAGAAAAATGAAAATATATCGACTGAAGAAAAAGTAGAACGATTAGTAGAAAATGTTAATACACAAAAGCGTGAAGAAATTAAAGAGCGACTAATGTTTGGTGAAATATTTTCAAGAAGTGTTGGAGAAGGGTACAAGTGCTTGAGGAAAAAGGATAAGAAAGAATTCTCTCATGTGGTTGACGGAAAAAGAAAAGTTTAAAAAATATAAACTCTTGACACAAACAAAAATGTTTACAGTAAGAAATAAAAAAGAAAATAAGACAGCTAAAAATGAAAACTTGAAAGAGCAACTAATTTTGGAGCTTTTTGACGATGAGGAGATTATTAGAATTACAGCTGATAAAAACGAATATAACTGAAAACCAAATAAGGAAGCAGAAAAGATACTTAATGGACACATTGACTAATTTGTACAATAAATTTACGCATAATTCTAATGTCAAAGTAACGTATCAAAGATTTTGTAAATATCGCCCATTTTGGGTTTTATACCCAAAGGAGTCCATTAGAAATACGTGTGCTTGCAAAGTTCATATTAATGTCGATTTGTTTATAAAATGTCTTAATATAAATAAAATACTAAAACAATCTAACAGGACTGGTGTTTTAGAAAGCTTATGTTGTAATGTCTACGATGAAAATCCCTCATCATCCCTATCCTTTAACTTAACTTCTTAATATCATTCCCCTCCTTGACGTTCTCATTACCGTTTCATTACGATTTTTGATATGATAGTAATTTTATTGTTATCTATACAAGGAAGGTAGAAACCACAAAAAGTTGAAGGATTTTATGGATATTAAAGATATTGGGGAAAAAAACGAAGTTATTCGGCAATAAATGTGACATTTACAAGTGTTGTGGACTTTGCACGAAATACGCGAAACACCCTAGAGTTTTAAATCCAATTTAGATCCATAATATAAAAAAACATATATGATGGATCTTCAAATAAGGCTTGATTATCATTGTCACCATATTTCCAATACTATATCCTACCATAACTTTAACCGTATTATTGATCTTACCTTCTATTCTAGCATAATATGTGTTATTGCATAAACTTAATTAGGTGGTAGATCCATGCTGCAGCTATATTAATTGTATAGTTGTAGCACGAATGGGTCGGCTCGACCGGGGAAGGACCGCGCTCTCACAGAATACCAGCGTACCAAAAAACTTTTACATTGGCCGACGGAAATTTTTATTCCTATAATTTTTATTCTTTATTATTTTCTTCTTCTTTACCATAAGTCCTTAAATTTTCGTATAAGTACTCTCTAGACACCAGCCACTAGGATTTACCTTAAATACACGCTTGGCAGACCGAGGTAATGATTGAGCACCAGATGTCTCACACCCATTAAGGCAGCAACCCTTTACCGGTGTGAGTATTAAACGACCTTTAATAGTAAGCTATAAGATTTTCGATAGTCACCTCTTGCTTGCGTCAAAATGGGGTGATAGATTACACCGCTTCCACAAGGTTAGGTTAAAAATAATTTATAATTTGTCATTACCAATATTCTCCTTATTCTAATAAAATAACGAAAATTTGCTCGTTAAGAAAGTATACGTTAAATACAAATGTCCACTGCATGCAATCAACAGCTATCACCAAACTTCCACTGCTAGTCAAAATTTATAATGCGATGACTCGTAATTATCTGTCTGTTAGTCGTAAATTTATTAAAACTTCAACGTAGAGTTATTTGTTTTACAATTTCAATTTTGTACCTACCTGTTTTAATAAGGCACAAACAACACATAATCCGCCAATTTAATAAGTTTTAATTTGTAACTAAATGCGGAGCTATATGTAGTTTTATTTCATGTGTAGTTTTCGCGTAAATATAAGACACCATTATTTTTTTACCCATTGATTTTTTTATAGGATAGGATTGGTAGTGGTTGCTGTGGCCCATAGAAATCTACATCTATCCTCGATTACGAATCAAAATGCAGATGCGTTGTCATTCGTGAGGACTTAGGTGGAATGCTTCGTTTCCAGTAAAAAGGAAAATCTCTACCCTCACCATACGAAACACAGCAGCATTAAACTACTATTTGACGCTGGTTGAATTATTCTGTGAGAGCGTGGTCCTTCCCCGGTCGAGTCGACCCATTCATGCTACAACTATACTACTAATATAACTGCAGCATGACTTTACCACGTAGAAATTGATTGGAGTATGGAATGTAAATAATTATTTAAATTGGCTTGCAATTGACGAAGATATTGTGTACCATACTTGCAAGAGAATATATAGTTGAATGAGAGGATATTATTTATTTTCAGTCGGCTTCGAAACTAACATAGATCAGTTAACGAATAAGATTCCAAATAAACAGTTTCAACGTAATGCGTAACGGAAAAGTCGAGTGGTATTTTACGGACTTAATTCTGGTAACATTTCTCCATCTAGAAGTGTCATTTAATTTTGAAAGCTTCGTTTGTGATAGGAAATATAGATATAACCTTATGATGATGAAGGCATTTGGACTTAAACTAATCGAATCCTGGCCGAGTCCAAACATTAATGCGTAATAGCATTTATTTTTACTGTGAAGGGTGCAAAATTTCTTCCATGTATTTTTGTGAGTATTTCAGATTTAGTAATATTTTGTCATGACAAAGGCAACTTTCTAAGTTGACTTTCTAGAATTATTCTTCAGGATATGGAATTAGAGATGTGCCAACGCCTAATTTCTAAATAAAGGATTTATATTTTTTTTTCGGAAAGATTTCATCAAAATTTTGTTACCGTTCACATTTCGGTTTCAATGGATTCAATTTTCGAAAAAAAAAATTCAATTCGGCTGGATTGGATATTTATTTATGCATATTGTTTTGGTGGGTTAAAACATGTTTTAATAGCATTTACTAAATTATAACGTTATATGATTTTTTTTAGTTTTTGAATGAATTACCTTTTTTTTTTTTAAAGGATAGGGCCCATGTACATCTACATCTGATGCTTTTTCTTGATCCCGGTTCTAATATTCTACATGGCTCCACCGAAGCCTAAGGTGGCCAAGGCCCCTGCGGCTCCTGCAGGCGGAGTCAAAAAAGCTAAAGCTGGAAGACCGAGGAATTATGATTTAAGCAATGGAGTACTACGTTTCTCCAAAACTAAAATGTTTCATAAAAAGGCCAAGTACAAGTTCTTTGGTAAGAAGAATCCAAAGGCAGAAAAGCCCAAGAAGTCCACAGTTGTGGTAAAGCAAATTGGTGGGGAGAAGAATGGAGGTACCCGTACAGTACTTTTGTGCCGTAGGAAGTCTTTCTATCTCACTCTAGACAAGATCATCACCCGTTCTCACCACAAGACTTTCAGCAAGCATGTGCGTAAAACTAGGCCCTAACTTGACAGTTGGTACCGTGTGCATTCTGTTTGCAGGCAGGCAAGCAGGCAAGCGTGTTGTGCTTGTTGGAGTGCTGCTAAGTGGTCTGCTGCTTGTAACAGGACCTTTTGCTTTCAAGTCATGTCCTTTTAGCCGCATTTCCCAACGTTATGTTATCAGCACATCGACCAAGGTGGACCTCGGTGACTTCAAGCTGCCTAAGCACTTGAATGATGAATACTTTAAGAAGAACAAGAAAAGTACCAAGCGCACCGTCAAACGCAAACAGGGCGAGGACATTTTTGCCAGCAAAAAAGAGAAATAAGTTTCATCGGAGCAGCGCAAAGCTGACCAGAAGACAGTTGATGAGGCGGTGATCAAGGCGATCGGTCAGCGCGACGACAAGGTGCTGCGCGGCTACCTTAAGTCCACGTTCGGCCTCCGCTCCAGCCAATTACCGCACAGAATGCGCTTCTAGTTTTAAGCCAAAATAAATCTTGACAAAATCTTGACATCTATCCTCGATTACGAATCAAAATGCAGATGCGTTGTCACCCGTGCGGACTAAGATGGAATGCCTCGTTTCCACTAAAATGGGTCTCTGGTTCTCTACACTGGCCATACGAAACACAGCAGCATTTATTAATTAATATAATTATTTAATGCTGCTGTGTTTCGTATGGTTAATTATTAAAATAATTATTCTGTGAGAGCGTGGTCCTTCCCCGGTCGAGCCGACCCATTCGTGCTACAACTATGCTACTTATATAACTGCAGCGTGGCTCTACCACGTATAAATTGTATTTTCTTGTTTTTATTTAACACCACACCGAGAACTTATAAACTTTTAAATATTTCATATCAATTTTTTACTTTGTATTTAGCATATTACTATGTTGTGAAACTCATAAAGTAGTAAGTTCTGCAAGGACGAAGAGTCTAATATAGTTTGTATCCTAAATAATAGGATTCCCCTTTAAAGGAAGTAGTTCTCTGCAGTAAGCTTGGCGAAAATTAAATAATTTTTAATAGTGTAGGAAATGACTATCCATAAAATAGCAATTATTTAGTTGGACACTACAAGTAGGGAAATAACTTATAAGATTTTTTTGTAAAGATAACCTAATTTTTTTTGTAAAGATAATTTAAGCCTCTTGATAAAATGAAATCGAATATTTTTTTAATTATATTACCGTTACTAATAAATTTTATTTATCGCTGAAACCAAAACACTCCAGCAACCAATATTAATCATTATGTTTTTGTCCTTATTCCCAATCCGGGCAAGAATTTAATAATTTGGCCAGTAAAAATTACAGTGAAACAGTAAACATGTTTTCTTGTTATTCAACAACAAAATATCATGCCAGTTTTATAAAGATAAACAAATTTTACTTCAGTACATTTACATACATTTACTGAGTACATAGTTCCGCATTTAATTACAAATTAAGAATAAAAAAATAGCGGGCTATGTGTTATTGGTGCCTAATAAGGCAAACAGTTAAAAAATTGAAAATGTAACAAATAATCCTACAATAAAGTTTAAATAAATCTGCGGCTGACACACAGATAACTACGAGCATAAAATTTGACTGGCAGTGGTAGTTTGGTGACAGCAATTGATTACATGCAGTGGAAATATTGCATTTATTGTATTCTTTTTTAGCGAGCAAAATTTCGTTCCGTTTATAAAAGAACATAAGTGATGACAAATGCTATTTTTAACCTAACCGTCTGGTAGCGGTGCAATCTATAACCTCATTTTGACACGTGCCAAGATAGGGTGATAGATTGAGATCCTCTTGCTGCAACCATGTGGTTGTAGCATGAGGTTACTATGTGAAGCGCCAGGAAATTCTTATAGCTTTATCTTAAAGGCGGTATAACTATCTCGTTTACACCAGTCGCTTAAAAACCAGACCAGTGACGGGATGCTTCCTCAACGGGTGTGAGACATCTGATGCTGCAGTCATCACCTCGACCTGCGGCAAGAGTGATTTAAGGTAAATCCTAGAGGCTGATATCCAGATTGTAATTACGAAAATTTAAGGACTCTTATGATAAAAAATAAAAATTAATATTAAATTTATAAGAATAAAATTTTCCGTTGGCCAATGTAAAAGTTTATGCAATAAAATATATTATGCTAGAATAGATGGTAAGATTACCAATACGGTTAAAGGTGTGGTAGGATGCAGTATTGGAAACAAGGTGATAATCATAATGAAACCTTACCCGAAAATGTACTACATAATTATGTTTCTACATGGGGCCTGGATTGGATTTAAAACTCCAGTATTGTAGTGTTTTGATATAAAGGTGTGTGGTTACTGAATTAAGACTTCATTAGTCGAGACCTTTTCTTCGGACAAAAGTGACATATTGTAAAAAATATTTAGTAAGTTTCAATGTATACTATACGACTTACCATATTTACACATGAATATAATTTTAAAGAATACTATTTTTTATAGCTTATAATTAATAATGATTGTTATCATTTATTTACAAACGTAAGCTCTATATATAAAAATCAATTGCTGTCCGTTAGACTCGATAAATCTCAAAAACAGCCTGATTTTGACGATTTTTTGTGTGAATGGGTGGTGGTTTAAATTAGAACCTAGGTGATTTAGATTCACATTTGAACCGCTGTTGATAAGATAAAGAAATAAGATAAGAATAAGATAAGAATAAGATTAATATTATTATTAATAATTTCTAAGATCCAGAAATCACCCGGGCGAAGCCGGGGCGGATAGTAATAATTTATAAAAAGATTAAGAAAACGTATTGTTGCGCGCCTAAGTTGACGTCTGGCACTAGCGCTATCTAGTGTCGGGTAACAGAGCGAGGAGAGATTTCCAGAAAATGAAATGACTAATCTTTTAACAAACAGCGCCATCTAGTATCGAATTGAACACGAACCCTAAGCTCGACACAGTAATAATAATTAATTAAATTAAATGTTAATAAATACGTTTTAAAATAAGTAGAAATGTATCTAAGGACATATCTATTAAAAATAATATTAATAAGTTATGCTTCAACCGCTTAAATGTAGTTTACGATACTATGAGTATGTTGATAAAAATGTGTAAATTTGTTGGATAGATACAACGGTTAAACATTACACTACCTTTATTTTTAGCATATTTGTAACTGGAATGGTGCCGTGCCAATGTTTTTGTAGATAGTGCTAAATCAGTCTTTGGCAGATATAGGACAGCGTCTCGAAATGTTACTACTGGTTTTCTGTCTCCCGAGAGTTTTATAAAAGTAGTCAATTTGTTGAGAGTGAGTGAGTTTTAACATACCTATATTTGTATTTTCTGTATTCGTGATTTTCAAAAATACACAATAATTTTAGTATTTATGTTTTATTATTTATAATTGATATATATTTAAATATACACAGGTTTACAGAGGTTATTAACGAGAACTAATATATTGGGATATTTATATTTGGAATATTAGGTGGTGGGCTCTTTTTCTATGCTGTTTTGTGGCACTATATTCACCAACTCGCTTCTGCAGCGTGAAAAGTAGAATTACATATCTATTTAAAAATAGTTCAAGTTTTTCTGATAATATATATATATATATATATATATAAATTGTGTTATATGTAAAGATCGGAATCATTCACTACCAATATTTAACCATTGGTAGTGAATGATTAAACATGGACCAATGTACGTAAAGCTATATAGGCTGTAGCTCGAAACCTCAATACGGCTTAATGAAAATACTACCGGTTCGTAAAATGTCAAAAGATTGATTACCTGACAATTAAGCTGTGCCCATTTGAAATATTTTTTAACGTTATTAAAAATTTTGGCGGATTACAAAGTACAAATTGGAGTACGATGTGGATAATTGTTATGACTATGTACATTTATATCATTGTTTATTACGTGTACGTTGAAATTTCAAATAGTTTATTAATAAATCATTTTAATAAAATGTTTTACAAGGATTATAGATGCTAGTCGTTATTTACGAGTATGTTGTCTCATAAATTTTTATTCTTATTTTTCTTCTTCATCTACCCGTAAAAGTAAATTGTTGGACATGGGCCTTTCCCGCTGAAGGGCAAGTTTTACTAATTTAACATTCATATTTGCATAGTCTGTTTAAATATGTTATGTAAAATTGTTTCAAATTCTCATTTCAGTCCAATCTAGGAATATTTCTGGGTGAACACCCCTTTAAAGTCCTCACATCCGACATTGATCACGGTCGAATTTAAAATAATCTTCATATTCTTCTCCTTCTGCCTTAAAAATTTACTGCTGGAGAAGGGCCCCTCTCGGTTCGGGTAGAAGTTGCCACAACCATCATGCAAACGGCAAAGCAAACGCAATGGCGACTAGTGTTATTTTATATATGTCATATTATATAGTTTTTTTTCTTTTTATATATATTCTCACACTCTCATTTCACAAACTACACTTTGTCGGTTAATCGTAGGTTGGACAAAATGGAAAGCATATTATAACGCCGCCATCACACGACAATGATACTTAAAAAAAGATTCTATAAATTAAAAAGAAGCATCCTGGTTATAGCTAGGGCTATGAGGTAGAGTAGGATGCAGTGTCAGGAGGTACGTGGATAACCTCTACACAACTAGACCTAAAAAAACAAACAATTTGTGTTAATTTGACAAAAATTCGATTGAGATTCAAAGCTAGTGATAGCCAGCTGTATTACTCTCTGATATTGCTTTTTATACGACCTGATATACATCACATATACACATCATATACACACTCTAAAATATTTCTTATGTGAGTATTAGGAAGTAGTTGCATGGGTCAAAGGTCGAGCTTTTTTCTCTGCACTCAATGTAACCTTTTTATTGACAGGCGAGTCTTTATTGATAGACTGATAGCATAAAATCCGTTTAAAGTTGAAGTCAAAACATTTTAAAAGTTAGTATACGAGTACACACACACACACACAACTAATTTAAACATATTCATTGCTTATGATAAAATTTGTTCAATTTATAAACAGAAGTTTGAATAGTATAATCAACAAATCATTGCACCGGGAAGTTATTTATCAAAATATTACAAAAAAATAAATCGAAATGTTCCGTTTTTCATTTAGCACTGGTCATTGCAAGCTATAAATATTCGGGTATGGAATATTGAAACAGTGTTCGCAACTAGTACGAAACCTTTTATCACGTTTATTTGCCCCTGCTGCATTCAGTTACCCTAGTTTTACATTATACACATATAGACCATTGATTTCTGGTCTGCTATCATGAGGTTTATTATTACCATCTGACATTAAAAAATTGTTAAAAAA